TTTTTTTTAAGTTCAGCTTTCATATTGTTTTAGGTACATTTTTCAAATGTTCTGTATCGAGGATGACAATTTTTGATATTTGGCACTCTAAAGTGGGTAATCCAAATGAAAAAATGCAACACGTCCTGAGCACTTTGACCGAAACATCATCCCTTTCTGACGACATCGAAAATATTGATTTAGAGACTTTAAGCCTTAAAATTAAGAATATTTGTAAACGAATTTCCCACTACTGGGCAAAGTCGAATCGTACTAGATCTAAATTCTTAGAAAAATATTCAGATTGGCTGCATGTCGTTGAAAAAATTGATGTACAGCGAACTGAGTTACGTGTATCTCAGAGCTTTGACGAAGTTAAACCATCAACTTCTTCATCGCATGGCCGTCCGAGAATTAACTTTGACGACACCAGTAAACGTACAAAAAGGAGAAGATTGGCTAGTTTGTCTAACCAAGACCCTTCTCTTGTACAGTCATTGCTCAATGCGTCCGATAGCTTGTCTTGTCCTGAAATCGATTCTAGCGAAGTTTTATCGCTCATTGTTGAAGCTCAGTTAACTCGACATCAATATATATTAGTAAAGAAATTTATAGACAATAAGTTTTCAAAAACCATTTTCCCATCTTACCAAAGTGTCGTGGAATCTAAAAAACACTGTTATCCTTCAGATATTACTGTTACAGAATCATCCGCCGAAGTCGAACTTCAAAGTTTATTAGATCATACTGCCAATCGGATTCTCAAGTCTCAAAAAGATGTTTTGGATAGTGTACCTAATGAGTCTCTAGATAAGATATCTTTGATAGGGAAATGGGGTTTCGATGGCAGTACAGGGCATTCAGAATATAAACAGTGTTTTTCTGACTCCACTCTTGAAGACAGTAGCCTGTTTGTTACTTCGTATGTGCCACTTCAGCTTGTTTTGACAACAGATAACAAAGAAAATTCAGTAGTTTTGTGGAAAAATCCTCGTCCTTCATCAACTCGATACTGTCGTCCTATACGCCTCCGATATTTGAAGGAATCGACTGCAGTGTCAGTTGAGGAAGAAGCTCATTTTAAAGATAAAATAAGGAACTTGCAGCCTACTGTTTTCAAGGAAGAAGATCGCGAATATCGCATTACTCATTGTTTGCAACTTACTATGGTAGATGGTAAAGTGTGTAATGCACTTAGTGGTGTTTCTTCATCAAAATGTTTTATTTGTAACGCCTTGCCCAGTGAAATGAACAAAATTGACGAATGTTTAAATAAGGAAGTCGATGAGAGTAAATATGAATTTGGTTTATCACCTCTTCACGCGTTAATACGTTTTTTTGAATATTTTGTTCATGTCGCGTACAAGTTAGATGTTAGGAAATGGCAAGCTAGGTCCGCTAATGACAAAATGCTTGTTGCTGCAAAAAAATCATATGTTCAGACTCAATTTAGAGAAAGATTAGGGCTTATAGTGGATAAGCCTAAAAGTGGCGGAAGCGGAACATCAAACGATGGTAATACAGCCAGGCGGTTTTTCTCGAATTCAGAAATTTCCGCTGAAATTACTGGGATCAAGAAGGATCTCCTAGATCGTTGCTGGATCATCCTTCAATGTTTAAATTCGGGATATAATATTAATAAGACGAACTTCGAAGAGTTCGCTTTAGAGACGGCTCGGCAGTTAGTTGCCGAGTATCCGTGGTATAACATGCCTGCTTCCGTTCACAAAGTTCTAATACATGGTGCTAATGTTATAGATTACGGTTTGTTGTCAATCGGAGAGTTGTCTGAAGAAGCAGCTGAAGCGACTAACAAATACATCAAGTCTTTTAGAAAAAATCATACGCGTAAAATGAGTCGCATTGTGACCAACACAGATTTAGTAAATAGGCTGCTTCTTCATTCAGATCCCTTCATAACAGGTCTACGAAAGTTACCTGTTAAAAAAAAAGGTGTACTGTCAAAAGCTGTATTAGACTTGTTATGTATTTAAAGTTAATATTGTTGAGATTTAATGTATTTTGGTATAATTTGTGTTTTGTTTGTATTTTGTAAAATGAACTTTTTTATGTATTTTTATTGTTTTAATTTATTCATTTGTGGTTATTGTTAATACAAATAATCATTATTTACACAGTTTTACCATTAAAAGTCGCAGTATAAAATGTTTTAGATACATCGTCTAAAAACAAAATTACTGCGAGACATTTTTACACCTAAATATTGTCAAATATTTTTTAAAATGTATAAT